CCCCTGTTCCCCGGAATCACTCAACGAGGACAAACAGAACACCCCGATTTCGAACCCGGGGACCGACAGGACCGAGGAGAAAACCCCCCCCTGGGTCGTGGTTTCTTTTTCCCCCCCCCTCCTCCTCCCGGTGACTTTTATGAATTTCAGACACTGAGACTCGTGGGATTTTATAATTTCATATCAGCTGATGAGGTATGCTTGCTTTTATATCCCGGACTTCTCCTCAAAGAGGAGACAGGCCTGGTTTTCTTTGTACTAATCGGAAAGGCTGTGAGATTAATACAGAGCATTAATTGTATCACTGTGTATGTAACGGATTCCTTTCAGCTTCTGGTATCACGGTATATTGGAGCATTATAAAGAAAGGCAAAAAAAAAAATACCCCTCCTTGTTTTGTGTAGCTCTCCTAACACACTCTTTATTTTACTACAGAAATTATTTTAGAGTTTTTTGTATAGACCTATTTAGTAGTCTGTTTCTAAAAACGAAAATTGTATTTCAATAAGCGGTGTAATTTTTTCAGTGTAGCTGGACCTATGTTGTATAATAGATAAATTTTTATAATCATCGAAAAATGTGATTCTTAAAAAAAAAAAAAGATGCTTATAGCTTCTATAGTTAAAGTTATTCTTACAACCACACGACTTAAAGGTGCTTCAGAGAAGAAAGGAAACCAAGAGGTCTCTGGAAAAGTTGCCTCGAAAAATGATGTTTGATTTCAGAACTTTACGTAATTTATTTTAACAGGGCTTTCTTTTTTTTTTCTGTCGTTGTTGTTGTTGGGGTTTTTTTAACCTTGTTTTCCCTCAAGCTGCTGGGATGAGGATGTTGGGATACAACATTCCTGCTCCACAGGTTTGCTTTAGCTGGGTTGGAGTGAGGTGTGTGAGGTGGGTTGGGAAGGGGGATCCTGGCATGGAGGGACCTGTTAATTTGGGAATAGGAAGTCACCAAAGTGAGGGATGTGGCAGCAGGGAGGAGATGGAGTCCCTCAGGTGAGCCAGAGCCGGAGTCAGGGGCTTTCCATGGGCTGAGTCAAGCTGGGGATCACATCAAATGCTGCTCTGCAGACAAGGGGCTTGTGGAATTCCTGGAGTGCCAGGAGAGGGGAGCGAGGTGGGATCACAGCCCTGTTCCTGCCGGGGTGGGGGGAGAGGGAGAGCAGGAGTTGGGGTGAGAGCTCCTCCTGAGCTCCATCCCATCCTCCCTCCATCCTCCCTCCATCCTCTCTCTATCCTCCCTCCATCCTCCCTCCCATCCTCCCTCCCATCCTCCCTCCATCCTCCCTCCCATCCTCCCTCCCATCCTCCCTCCATCCTCCCTCCCATCCTCACCTGCAGGAAAACCAGGACGGTCCCTGAGGGTCAGAGGCACGTTTTTGGCAAATGTTGAGTTTTAAGGTTGGGAACTGGATCCCTGTTTGATAACCCTGGGAGGACAGGAGTGGGAAGGGTGCCAGGCCCAGGGGGCAGCTGCTGCTCCCCAGCTCTGGGTTCCCCCCCAGCCAGACCCAAGTGTAGCTCATTTCTGCCATCCAGGGAGCTCATCCCTGCAATCCAGGGAGCTCATTTCTGCCATCCAGGGGCTGCTCCCTCAGGCCCAAGCACTGTACTGTAAGTCCCCTTTTCCTTGAAATTCCCCCTCTTTGTGCTGCTTTTCCCACCCAGAGATCCTCTTGGGCAGAGGGGGAGGGACAACCTCGGGGCTGTGCCTGAGGGGATTGTTCTCCAGGAGAGCAGGGATGGTGGAATTCCTCCCCAGGGGCTGTGTTTGAGACACCGAATCCTCTGCTGAGAAACAGCTCCTCAGTTGATGGGTTTTCACCATTTTCTGCCACTCACGTTGGGTTTTCCATGACATAGGAAACTTCAGGAACCAGGAAGGGCAGTTTTGGCCCAACCAACTCGTTTTTGACTGAGCTGAAACCCCTCCCAGCATTTCTGAAAGGAAAAGAATAATGAAACAATGCTTTTTAAACGTTTTCTCTATAATATTTATACCCACCCCTCTTACCTTCTAGAAGAAAAAGCCAATTATGAGAGTGAGTTTTGAATTTCCACTGCTGATTTAAACTGTTGTGTTTCCTGTGCCTGGTCCACCCTGGGGGTTCTGTGCATTCCACATCACATTTGCAACCTGCATTTCTGTTGTGCCACTATTTTATGGTCAGGCCTGTTATTAAATGATTTTTAAATGCTTAAAAAAAAACAAAACAAAACAAACAAACAAAAAAAATCTTGGTAAATCAATTGTATTCCAGTTTTGCAAAATGATTTTCTTCTCAATAAATTTACAGTATTAGGCTGCTATTCAGAATTCTAACATCTGGGACAGTTTGTTTTCTATTCTTCAGTCCATGGTCATGATATAACTTGGGTTTTGTTGTGTTTTTTTTTTTCCTTCTGAGAATTATGAACTTCTTTTCTGTGGCAGAAGATTAAACTGTCCAAGCCTCTTCCCAGTCTGGCCCGATGTGACACGGTGGCAGCAGCTCCTCCTGGTCCTCTGGGACCCCCCTGAAAGCTGGGATTGTGCAGTGTGGTCTCTCCTAAGGGACATATTCCAGCAAGGAAAGGAAAATGGGTGCTAGGAAAGGCAGGGAATTCCAGGCTGGGATTTGCTGTGGCTTCTTCATTCCCAAATTTGCATCCTTGCACACCTTGGGCACCGCCAAGGAATGTGCTCAGGAACGTGTTCCCTCCTCCCTGCCCGGGCTGGCAAACCAAAGGGGGTGGTTTGGGGCAGCTTTGCAGGATTCAGTGACTTAAAGGGCTGGGCTTTGTCACTAAAATGCTGCTTTGGAGAAGAGCAAAAAGAAACCCCACCAGCTTTGGGGTTGGGTTGGATGTTCTGGGAAGTGGGACTGAATTGCCCCTGGTTTTTTCACTCCTAAAAATCATCCTGCAGGCAAAGTTGGGCTGGATTTTCATCAGGAGAAGGGGAAGGGTGGGCAGTGGGGGGGGAGCTCACGTTTTCCCACTTTCTGCTTTTTTAAATTCCTTTCTCCTGAGGGCTGGTGCAGCCAGAAATCCAAGGAATGGACAGAGGGACCCCCCAAGCAGCCAGACTGTGCCACCCCCCCGTGACCCTGAGCTGGGAACTGGTGAGGAGCTGCAGTCCTGGCTTTTGTGGCACTTTCTGCTGCTTTGACCTGGACAAAAGTGGGGTTTGCTGCTGTTCACTGCCTCAGTTTGCAATTTTCCCTTCGGATTGCCTGGGAAGGGCAGTCCAGGGGCAGCTCCTTTGGGAGCTCACTTTGTCCTCGTTTGTCCTGCAGGTTCCAGGGGAAACTGGGAGTTAAAAACTCTGGGATGTGTTTGTGCCTTGCAGAACAGTCCCAGGGCTGGGCACTGGCACAGCTCAGGGCTTGCAAAACCAGAGGCTGAGACAACAGATTGCAAAACACTTCCCAAGTTTTTGCTTTTCCAGAGGAAAAGCTCAACTCAAAGGAGCCTTTTCCCCGAGCGACCCGAAGCAGGGCCGTGAATTGAAGTGTTTGTGGACTTTCCCTATAAAGGAAAACACTGGAATGTTTTCATCTCCCTGTTTAAACCTCTCCTGCAGCCTGGGAGAATTATTTCATGCCTTAATTACCAGGTAAACAACTGGGATAGAGCAGGAGATTTGTTAGAAAAGGGCTGTTGTGAAGGAGAACTCGCTCTTTAAAGGCTTTCCAGTGGTGGTTCCTTGAGCTGCCCTGTGATTAAATTCAGTGTATTATGGTCAGGTCAGTAAATATCCTTGTTCTGCAGGTGTGGAACTGAGAGCCCTGCCTGGAATTGTGGAAGGGAGCTCCGGGTCATTCCCGATCCAGGATCATCAATTCCCTTTTCACTTCCTTTTACATTTTCTGCCCAATTTCCTCCCCGAGGTTTTTCAGTCAGTGGATGGCAAATATTCCAATAAAGGAGATGAGAATCAGGCACCTCCTTGTGGTTCAGCTGAAGCTACAAAAAGCAGGGAATTCCACAAATATCCCTTGGGAAATCTTCCACAAATATCCCTTGGGAAATCTTCCACAAATATCCCTTGGGAAACCTTCCCTCCTGTCCCGGCGCGTTCCCGGCGGTTTCGGCCGCGCAGGGGACGGCGTGGACAGAGTTGCCCTGGAGATATCCCGGGATCCTGAGACACAAAATTAGTTCAGCCTGAAAAAGGACTCCCCCCGAGGCAGCCCAGGCACGGAGGGGTCAGATTTCTCCTGAGCCTTGGGTGTCATTAATAGTGCAAAGGTCTCCAAACCTGGACCTTGTGTCCCTGGGACTCCTCGGGGGAAGGTCCCTCTGTGCCCTTTCCCGCAGCACCTGGAGGGAGGAAAACGCTCCAATGGCAGCCCAGGGAGGCCGGATTTGGGATGAGCTGCACCCTGACCCCGTTCCCAGGGGCCAGGGGAGAGGAGATCCCGAGCCTTGGGAAGAGGGAGCGCCCGGGAAGCGTGTTGGGGGTGTGGAACTGCCCCTTCCAGGCGCAGGTTTGTGCTGGGAAACGATTCCCAAAGGAAACCTGGGAGCGTGGCAGAACACACCAGGGCACCCTGAGTGCCCCTTGCTCTTAGGAAGCAAATGTTTGGGAATCTAAGAGTTGCTAATCCATAGGAAAATTCCCACTTGGCCCGAAAGCTTGTGTTGTGCTCCGTGAAAACTGAAGCCCTTTGTTACTCACAGAAAACAACAGGATTTTATGATGCTCGTGGATTTTAATTGACTCACTTGAAGCACGTTCCATAATCCATCCACTGCCTGCTGTTCAGGGAAAAAAAACCTCCAGGAATACCGTGGGATTGTCCCAGCAGATGAGCCGGTGGTTTGAGTGAATTCCAGCAGATGTGACCTGGGATCTGGGGCTGTCACAGCTCGTGGCTTTTCCCACCCTGCAGAGAAATCCTTCCCAGGGGCTGGGACTTAACCCGGGGAGGGTTTGGGGAGGCTGAGCCAGGAGGTGGCAGTGGAGCTCGTCCTGCTGGGATGGAGGGGATGGAGGGGATGGAGGGAGGCGGCTCCGAGGGATCCCTGTTGGAACCTGTTCCTCATTAATTGTTAATTACAGACCCCCGGGATGGGTTGGGCGGGAAGGGACCTTAAAGCCCTTCCAGTGCCACCCCCAGGGAACTTTGAGGGTGGGGAAGGGGCGCGGGGCTGGATTTCCCAGAGGAGCTGTGGCTGCCCCATCCCTGGCAGTGTCCGGGGCCAGGCTGGAGCACCCTGGGCTGGTGGAAGGTGTCCCTGCGTGGAACTGGATGGGCTTTAAGGTCCCTTCCAGCCCAAACCTTTCCGTGATTCTGGCTGATCCCGTGACTCCTGATGGGCTGGGATTTCCCCTCCCCTCTTGTTCCTTCCTTGGTGCCTTTTGGCATTAAAGCCAAACTGAACCCGTGTCCAGGGGGAAATGTGGGGAGGACTCAGCTCCCCCCCCTGAGCAGAGCTGGCCCCTTTGCCACGTCCCCACTGCTGCCCTGGGGGAGACTCCCGGGAATAAACACCTGGGAACTTCATCCCACAGGGAAGATGCAGCAATGGGGTTTGCTCTCTTGCTGTTTGTTACTTTTTGAGGGGGTTTTCCCTGATTTGACCATCTAAATGTTATTCAGCCCCCAAAAATGTCTTGCTGTGAAGGAAATCCTGTTTGCTGGAGCTGCTGTTTGTGTGAGATGAGCGGCTGCAGTTGGAGTTTCCTCATCCATGTGCCTGGAAAACTGAGCTGTAGGGAGGGATCAGCTCCCCTGGGCAGGAAAGGGAAGCCTCAGTTTTACTCAAGAACTCCCCCAAAATACGTCTGTCTGCCACAGGCTGAGCTCCCGGGGGCTGCTGAGCTGGTCTTACCCAAACTTTGGGATTCTTTGGGATTCTTTGGGGTGGAAAAGCGGCGAGGGAGGGACAGGCAGAGGTGGCGACGTGGCCACCGTGGCCTTGGGGCTGCTCTGGGCTGATGCAATTCCCCTCCTCGGTGAAAAACCAGGACAAACTTGGACAGGACCATGGAGCACGAGGATGTTCCACCCATTGTGGGGAATCCATGTGAATCCATGTGTTGGGAAGAGGTTGCCTTGGCTATTCAGGGGCTGCCAGGACTGTCAGCCCAGGGCACTGTCCTCACTTGCTCCCCGGGGTTTTCCAGCAGTGGAAAATCACTGGGATCCAGGATCACCCCCTGCCAAAGTCCTCCGGCCGGGATGTCTCTGGAATGATCTTTGCCCCACTGCCTTGCAGAGGGAAGGAGGCACAATTTGCCCTTTGGAGTCTCCCACTTGTCCCCACGGCCTGAGGGGGAGCTGGTGCAGCTCCAGAGGGGAGGGAAATGCCAGAGGAGGGACAGCAAAGGCCGGGCTGTGCCAAGGAAACAGGGTGTGCCCTGCAGCAAAGAGCCCAAAGGGCTCGGACTGAAGAGCTGATAAAAACATACCCAACCTTTCCCTGACCCTGAGGCTCTTCCCAGGTGGCTCCGGGTGCCCTCAGGGGGGAAGGGTCGGTTCCTTTGGCTCTGGGGAACAAGAGCTGCTCAGGAAGGTCTCAGCAGTACCCTGAGCTCTGCTCTGGGACACAACTGTGCCAAAATAAGGACAGTTTAGAGCACCAGGACAACGTGGCATTGCTGGGGCAGCCGCCCTGGCCCAGCCCAGCACAAACTGTGGGTTTTGCAGAGCTTCTGAGCTCTGCTTGTGCCCTTCCACTCTTGGACACTTTTAATTAAAGAGCAGGACGGAACAGCCTCCGATGGTCTCCCGATGTGCTTTCAGGGGCGGAGCCGCTCCCTTTGGACAAGCTGCCCTTGTATTTTTATCGCCGGCGCCTCCAGGGCTCCTGCAGAGCCAGAGATACCGCGGGAGCCCCGCCCTGGAGCCCGGGCGGGTATTTTGGGGTGCGGGCACAGCCCTGGCAGGGTCACCCTGCAATTGGGGCTGCGGGGCTGCGCCAGCTCCCAAAATTAACCCGGGGACCCCAGAATTAGCCGGGGGACCGCCCTCCCCACGGGGCGGGGTGGGCACGGTGGCCCCGCAGTGCGGGAGGTCCCGACTCCCCCCCCCGGGTGTATTTTGGGGACAATTCCTACGCTTTCCTCAGCCAGTGCCTTCCTGAGCTTTGCGGATTGTTCTGGGGCAAAATCCTCCCCGAACGGCTCAATCCCAACGCGGCCCGGTGGGTTATTACCGAGGGGCGTGGGAGGGAAAGGGGGATTTGTTGTTTTTTTTTCCCGATTTGGCAACTTTGGGCTCGGCGGCGGGGGCGGGCGGGCGGCGGACCTGCTGGCGCGCCTCCTCCGCCCCTCCCCTCGGGAAAGCGCGGCGTGGTTCAAGGGGGCCCCGCCCCTTCGCGGCGCCCAGGCTGGTGCGCCAGTGGCTGCGCGGGCGGTGACGTCAGCGCACTGCGGCGGCTCGCGCGGCCCGTTTGGCGTCGCCTTAAAGGGCGCGCGTGCGCGAGCGCGCGCGGCACCGGCCGCCGCCACCGGCTCGAGACACCGGCTCGGCTCCGGCCCCGGCGGCGCTCCCGGCACGGCCCCGCCCGGTAAGGACGCGTCCGGCGTGCGCGCCGCGGGGAAGGTGGTCGTCCCGGGGGTGCGAGCCGCTGGGACCCCCGCGGGGAGCGGGGCGGGTGGTGCCGGTACCGGAGGTTCGCATCCGCCGCGCTGCAAGCCGGTACCGCGGGATGCTGATCCCGTGGGACCCTGCGCGGACCGGGAGATGCTGTCCTGCAGGACCCTTGCGGTTCCGCGGAGGACGGTTGCCGGTGCCGGTGCCGGAAGGGTCTCCGGACCCCGCTGATACCGGCGGGGACGCTGCCCGGTACCGGGACGCCGATCCCGTAGGCGTTCCTGCAGGTGCCGGCTGGCCGATGCTGCCGGACCGCGGGGTCCCCCACCGGGAGGGGGACCCCGAGGTGCGGAACGCCTTCCGGGCATGAGTTCGCCCCGCTGCGGCCCCGCGACCCGCCACGGGCTGCTGCGGACCGGGCTGCGAGCCGTCCCGGTTGCCGGCCGCTCTGGATCGCAGCTCATGATGCGGGACCCGCGCCTGGGTCCCCCAAACCGCGCCTGGGTCCCCCAAACCGCGCCTGGATCCCCCAAACCGCTCCCGCCCGGTTCCTGTCCCGACACTCGGGCTGGACATTACCGGGGGACGGGGACGCTTTGCTTTGCTTTGCCTTGTGAGGGAGCCCCTTTTTTTTGTGGAAAGTGGACGGACAGACTCCATTCCCTGCTGGATTTGCTGGGATCCCGCTGGGATTTCAGCTCTCGCTGCCCCACACGGGTCCATCCCACCCCCCCAGGGATGTGTCCGTGGGCACCACCAGCTCCTGCCTGGGTTTAACGGGGTGGTTCAGGGCTGGGACACTTCCGAGGTATTTTTCCCATCCCTCCCCTCCTGTGGGAGCAGGATCAGGGTTGGAGGAGGGAACTCCAGACCCCACAGCTCGGCCCCTCCTCAGCTGGGCTGGTTTAGCTCTGCATTACTGAGCCATTCCTGCACTGGGATCTCCCACTGCTCTATCCCGAGGGGAAAACAGCACTCGATGTGGATTTTGTTGGATGTGCTTTGCCCCAGAGCCCTCAGAGGTCGGCAGTAGGAAATCCCATCCAGGACCTCTATTCCCTAAATAACGCTGGCTCGGATTTTAATGCGCATTTTGACACAATTAATCTCGGGTTTGGGGCCGCCTGGGAGCAGAAGCAGCTCCCGCAGCAGCATCCCAGGGATTCTCCAGTCCCCAGGGGGCAGATGGGGCTGGAATTGTCCCAGCTGACTTTGTGGATTGTCATTTTCCTCAGAAATTCCACAGAAAACAGCCCGGTGGCCTCTCCCCCCCTGAGCAGGGGGAGCTCAGAGACACGGGGACAGGGAGACTCAGACAGCAACAGGTTTTGTTTTCCAGCACTTTGGAGCAGCTGGATTTGTCCCAAGTGCCCAGGGAGGTGGGAAGAGCTGCAGGGAGCTCTGCTGAGGGGAATAATGTGAGATCCAGGCGGATGGTGCTGCTCCCAGCCTTCCCCAGCCATTCCAGGGCTCTTTCCCTGGGCACCACAAAGCCTCCTTAAGGCTTAGCCCCAAATTATTTTGTCACTGCTGGCAGCTCTTTAGAACACAGGGGCTAAAATTACAATTCCTCTTTCATGTTTAATCCCTTTTGGTTTTTTTTCCCCTCTCTGTCTTGGTTTGGACCTGAAAACCACAGTGGCTGCTCCCACTGCCAGCCTGGCTCTGGCATTACTGGGCTTCAGACCATGCCTGTGAATAAACATGAAGTTTTGATTCCTGCAAAGAAACAACCAGGGTTTGGTCCAAGGTGCCACCAAAAAACCAAAAAAAAAGTGGCTTTTACAAGATTGCAAGCCAAGGTTTCATTTTTGGGCACCAGCACCGAGGTGCAGCCGTGGTTTATTATTTCAGCAGAGTCATGAATCGTGTTTGTGCCCAAAATAGTTGGATGCTGGGCTTCAATCCAGCCAAATCCCCCACAAATCACCTTCAGCTGCAAAACTCTTCCGTTGTCGTGCCGCTGACAAATCGCTGGAACCCTCCCTGCCCCGGCTCAGCCGAGCTCCCGGTGCCCGGTTAAAGCAACCCGCTGGGTCATCCCTGAATTTGCAGCCGGGTTTTGGCCGATTTTTGGAGGTTTCCCACCGCTTCGGGCCACCAGAGGTCGGCAGAATTCCGGGGATGGGAGGGATGGGAGGGATGGGAGCCGGGCTCTGCCCGAGGAACACCCGAGCTAATTACGCGGCGAGGAAATCGGGGTAATTTGGGAGCAGGGCACGCGTTGCCGGGGCTCTGGCTGCTCCGCCGGCTGCCTTCACGTGCGCCCGGCGGGAATTAGGAGGGATCAGAGGCATTAAACAGGCTCCGGCTGCTCTGCCTTAATTCCCCCTCCGGTACAAAAGGTGCCCGGGCTCGGGAGGTCGCGGCGGGAC